TGTTTTCATGAAAAATGAAAAAACCAATTGTTATTTTCATTTGTGTTTTTAGAATATCTATAGTTGTTTTCATGAAAAATTATACCATTTTTAAAATATTCATTTGTATTTTTAGAATATTCACAGATATTTTTATGAAAAATGATACAATTTTTAGAATATTCATTTGCATTTTCAGAATATCCATTGATGTTTTTATGAAAAATGATATAATTTTTAGAATATTCATATGCATTTTCAAAATATCTATAGGTATTTTTATAAAAAAATGATACAATTTTTAAAGTATCCAACAAACATATTAGAATATAAGGTGTATTTCATGTAAAATTTTGACAATAAGAATATGTTTTTCAAAATATACAAAAAATATATTCGGATATAAGGTGCATTTCATGTAAAATTTTGACACTGAGAATATATTTTTCAAAATATGCAAAAAGTATATTCAAATATAAAGTGCATTTCATGTAAAATTTTGATATCAAGGATGTTTTTTTTAATATACATAAGTAACATTTGAATATATGGAAGAAAATTATATTTCGTTAAAAATTAGTCACATATCATAAAAGAAAAGTTGCACATGCTTCCAAAGGTACCCATGAAGGAAGTTAATAAGGCATATTTGAATATACATATGTGATATTAAAATATATGGAGAGAAAAATTGCATTTTGTTAATGATAAGTCGTGTATCGTTGAAAAAAGGTTGTATATACTTGTAAAGGCAGCTATAAGATAAAATAATAAGGGATATTTGAATGTATATAAGTGATATTTAAATATCTAGAAAAAAATTGTATTTCATTAAAAATCGATCACATATCATGAAAGAAGTGTTGCATATGCTTCTTTAAAAATGATTTGCATATCGTGTAAGAAATGTCGTATATAACATATTAACATTGAAGGACCTCATACTTTATGGCTTAATAAATTGCCATTGAAGGACTTTGTTTGAAATATTGACATGAAAAGACCTTATGTCACATATTGACATTTAATTAATGACAATGAAGGACTTGCAATGTATTGATAGCAAAGGACCTTATGCAATATATCAACAGTAAAGGGCCTTGCTTAATTTTTGTTAATCACTTTTGGCATTTACGTTGTTTAACTTTTATCAATTATTTATAGTGAATGACCTTATTTTCAAATCATTCCCAGGTCCTTCTCAGCAAATAAATTATGGTCATGTATTTTGTTTGTGCAATTTTCCCCTATATCAATTATGAGAAGAAGAAAAATAATATAATATTAAAAGCTAGTAAATTACTCATGGATGTAATACAATTTTTTAAAATAAGTGTCAATTTTGCAATAAAATCTTTCTTGAAAGAATAATTAGTCATATTTTTCCATACACAATGAGACTATATAATTATCATTATTAATATTAAATATGTATAGTGGAATATAACAAATGATAAAAATTAAAAGTATGATGTGTACATGGATCCAATAAAAAAACAAGTTATCAATAGAGGAAAGTGAATTAATTTTGATGAAAAGTAAGTGTCGATGTTTTGGAAAAGCGCCAATGTTAAAACATAAGGTTGTCCATTAGGGACGGATCTGCTTGTATTATAGAGGAGGCAATTGCCCCCACAAGCGCAAAAAAAAATATACATAATGATCTTAAATATTTTATTTGCCCTCATTCAAAAATTTCAACTACCCCTTGCCCCCTCAAAAAAGAAAAAAAATTCATATGGTCCTATAATTTTTTTTTTACTAATTTTCTAAAATGCTTATTTGGCTAAGGTCTTATTTATGTGTTTTAACATTACATAGAAAGAGTTTTTAAAAAGAAGGGAGAAATAATTTAAAAAATAATTTCTCTAATTGTACGTTTAAATTGCAAATTTTATCACAAAAAAAGTATACCATATAAAAGAATTAAATTTTGTCAGCATATAAAAGTTTAGATGCATGAGACAGATTTTAAAAGATCATGAACTAAGTCCTTATCTATTGAACTTACTTTTATTGATCAAAACTCAAGAGATCTAATTTTTATTAATTAAAATGAAAAGAAAAATTCTAATAGATATAATTTTATATTTCATGTATAATTCTTTAATAGCATTTAATTTTAATAAATTTTATACTTAATATAATTTAATAAAAATATAATTAATTTAGTGATTATATTAATATTAATATTTATCTTATGTATAAATTTTGCTCCCATAAATTAATTTTTCTGGATCCGTCACTTCCGTCCATTAACTGGCCTAACCAACTTTACTCTGTTATCGTAGTAATTTATTTTGAATAATAATTATTTACCGGTTTTATATAATGTAGAAATTGTCCCCAAAATATGAATAGGGGGGACCCAACGATGCCTATTAGGCCCAAAATCATGTGGTCTTCTTTTTATGGACCTTAAAGATCATTCGGCCCGAGTAGTTTGTTTTCAGAGGAACAATATTTAGGGGGAATGACATTTAAGAATTAATGAGTGGGCTAATCTTCTTGGAGGGAAAAAAATTGGAAATCCGAATTGAGAATAAAAGTTCTAGTAGAACGATGAGTCTCAATTAAAAGTAATAATTACCATTTATAAAGTTGCAAATTAGAGAATAAGAGCATCAAACGAGAAGAAATTATAACATCTTTGACATGTTAAATTGTCCATTTTTCAAAATAAATTAACGAATCTAACTTAAAAAGTAATGATCACGAGGTTGTAAATCAGAAGTATCAAACTACTAGAATTCATGAAAATTATTCCTCATCCTTCATAAATAGACATATCCCACTAACAAATTAACAGTCACAAAGTCATAAATTAAGAACCAAATTATGAAAATTATAACATCCTTAACAAGTTAAAATTTTCATTCCATTTAGTATAGACAAGTCTCACTTTTAAATTAGTAGTTGCAAGTCAAAGAATACAAGAACCTAACAGTTGAAAAAACATTTAGTCCTAATTCTGCATTCTCAAATCTCGAGATCCTAGTATTTAGTTAACTCAACCTTTTGGTCCCCAAATGTCATTCTCCCAAAATTTATATTGATGAGTTATGTTTCTTAGTAAGACCAGTGATATACCGAGTTTGTTCCATTTTAACTAGCAAACTTAATGGTTTTGGGTTAATCGGCAGTGAAGCTCTTTTATCAAATATTTTAACACGGCCACATTTTCAAATCTTAAACTTGACGTCTTGACTTTTATTTAAAAAAAATATGTCTCTTGACTTTAGCCTATATTTATAAATTAAGTCTATCTCCTTATCCTTCCAACCTTGTTGGTAACTGCAATCTCAGCAAATTTTGTTGTTTGTTCTAAAAGGGCTATTACTTTTGCAGCTATTTATATTTCTTATGTATATTTTCAGGTTGTAGCTTTTGGCAAAAATAAACTTTTAATTTTATTTCGAAGCAAATCATCATTAGTTTTATAAAACTTGTAAAAGTAAATTATTCGTAAGTCATAAGTAATACTATGATTCATCTCAAATTTTAAACAGCTCATATTTCCTAAAATAAACAAATACATACTTAATAAAAAAAAGTACAGGCAAATATTCATTTATCAGTCGCGTTAAACATATTCAATCACCACATCAATATATACATATATTTCTACCAAAAAGATATTAATATATATCATGTTAAGATGATCTCGCAAGATGTCAATGAAGCTACTGACACACTTGCTAAGTAGGCATTATCGTGCTATTGGGTTTTACCTCTTGTTTTTCCCTTATTGAATTTTTTTTAATTTTGCAACAGGACTGTAATGCTACTCTATACTTTTTTTTTTCCCCTTGTTATAAAAAAAAAATAGTTAAGATATTTTCCAAACTTCATGAAATACATTTTAAGATGCTTTCAATTGTTTATAAATTAAAATAAAATCAACAAATTTCACGGCTTCTTGTGGTAACATGACGAGTAAATTCATTTACAGTAAAGAGACATGAGACATTGATTAGGTAGATGATTATCTTTGTATTGTTCACAAGTTTTGGGTGAAATATGTTTTGCATGAGCCATTGTATCATTATCTTGCTATATTTACGATTTGAAAAAGTCAAATATCTTACTCATAGCAGGTTAAATAGCCGCATGCAATGATGAATCATTTTTAACACCAATCTATATTTTTCAAATGCTTTCTCGATCCCTTACCCTGCATAGTTTTCGCTCTCATATCACCCAAAAGCCTTATCACTTCATTAATTTTCATCTTACATACACTAATTGAATTAGTATACTCAACCCTGCACTATTCAATTTGTGGTCTATTTTAGAATTTTCTTTTTCAAAATCACCCAAATCCTAGATCTATTTTATGGGTCGACCAGATAAATAAATAGCAAAACATAATTGAATCGAGTAAACAATATATCGCCACAATAATCAATCATAAAGCGTAAAGCAAGGTCAGATGATGTTATATAACTTTTTATGTGACAAATCTAAGGTTTGGGGGTTCAAAAACGCGTTGTTTTAGCAACCGAGTTGTGTATCTTAATCTGGATCAAGTGTGTCATAATAATTCAACTTAAAACTACAAATTGAGTAAAAATAAACGAAAACATGATTGACTAAAATGCATCAAAATTCACACGATATAATCCTCAAGCTATGATAAAATCATAAAAAAAATGTCTACATATTTACCTCCCACACAACTATAGCACAGTCTCTTGGCCACGGTAGTGGAAGAGGGTTAATTCTTTAGAATCTTAAATTTGGTGTACCAAACATGTACATTGGTTTGGCCCAAAAAAAAAAAACATGAAGATTTCAGGGAATCCTCTTCCCGTTCTCTTTCGACGTGGATTTTGTAAGCTTCAAAACCAAACACATTTTAAAAGAAAATCCGCGCAAATATTGTAAACGTGTAATGAAAACGACACGTACCGAGGTGTGCACTATGCCCCAAAGCGGTAAGTCACGTCAAACCAAACAGAAGAAAAACGACGATAGGACCAAAGGCGAGAACGAGACAATAAAGTGAGGTGGAAAACCTAAACGAATCCAAGCACCGTCCGAAGTCCAACCTTCGATACTACCGAAGCCTTTCATCGAACACACGGACGTCGTTATAAAGAACCCACTTGTTCTCACACTTTCGTTCACTCACGCTCTTTGTGCCCTCCGCTATTCCCTAATTCCTAGCTCCGATCTTAGATCTCTCCCTCGCCGTCTCTCTTCAATGGCATCCTTCACTGCAACCTCCATCTCCATGACCTCCCTTTCCACCCCTTTCAAGCAGTCTCGGGTATTCCTTCTTTTTTCGTTACCTGTCTTACTGTTTAATTTAAGATACAGTTTGTTGGATTTATGCTGCTCAAGTGTGCTCTCATGGTGTTTGATTCATGCTCTGCTCGGAATCTTCTGTGATCGGCCTCTTGAATGTGTGCATATGCTTGATGTTCATAAATTTTTGATTTTGAGCTGGTGTTTAGATGGTTAGTAGATGGAATTAATTTAGCTTGGGGGTGTGTTTGAATGCTCCGGTTTAAATAATGACCTTCGTATTTTGATTATACATTTATATCAGCGTTGTATCAGTTTTGAGTCCCCCGGTCCTTTTACATTTTGAAGGGGAGCTATTTCATTAAATGGTCTCGTGTTTCTGAATTAGGTTACCCAGGATTACTTTCGCTGCTTTAGTCTAAATTCATAGCCTGGTGTGTTGGGGTATTGCATGCCTCCATTAGTTGAATATATCTAGTCTATAGAAGTTGAGAATTTCTTGCTCATTCTTCATTTATGGAGATGATAGTCCCCTTATTTTTTCCGGGTTAAATAAATGTTTAAAAGAGTAACCATACAATCGACAAAATGAGCTATTAACAGAACAGCGAAGCACATTTGGGGTCATACCATTTCTTTCTTCCGAAGCGATATTAGCACATTAAGGCTTTAACAGAAACATCACACCTGACAGGGGGGCTTGCTCAAAAACAGGGTCATTATTACTCGATGCGTGCATCTTGTGGTTTTGATGGTTTATATTTAATTGCTATCATCATCTAGACAAAATAACCGGCAAGGCTGCAACACCAAATCTTCATTTAACGATGCAATAACTTATGGTTGTTGGGCTTCAGCTGTACATGATAGCATCATGATAATTTTATTTTTGTGTTGACTGTTATATCTGCTTTATTACTAACAAAAGAAAATCAATCTTGTCTACGAGACTATAACTTTTTCTGTTCACTCACAACTATACCTTCACTTGTTTAATTCCTCTTTCTTCTACGCAAAAACAGGTCCCTGCCAGGATCGCAAGCCCTAACTCGGTGTCCCTTTCAATTAGAGGGAGAACTTTCCCATCCATCACATTGCAGCCCAGAGTACCTCGGTTTCAAGTTGCATGTGCTGTAAGTGTTTTATTCATAAACCCTTGCATTGTTTCTTCTTGACTCATTGTCATCACTCATCAGCCTTAGTGGTGCAATCATTTCATTAGTAATTTATCATTTTATTGTTAGAATATTTGTCTTTGACATTTAGTTTAACGAAGTTCCATAAAATGGAATTTAATAATTTAATTATTGACATATGCTCCTTTTGCATCGTGGAATTGATACTGAATCATGTTATGTTACCATGAGTATTGTGAGCATAAAATTACTGTAGAGTGTGATGTGGATGGCTCACTCATACCACCTCCTTTATTTTTATCTCTAATCTGATGTTCAGAGAAGATATTTGCGTTACGGACAGCTTAACACTTATCTACGCTTCATAGTTTCTTCTGTGATTGAAAGCTAATAATACACTGAATCATCTCGATGATAAAAGGCCAATCTATTTATTTCCTGAAGAATATTCTGTTTTGGAAATATCAATTATACCTTGTGATTGTGTACTTAATTCAGGACTAATCGCTGCTTCAAATGTTAGAACTACTGAGTACTGAAAACTCTAATTTAGACATTCTAAATGGTGCTAACGTGACCAACCTGGTTAATTTGGCAGGCCAAACTGGAGACAGTGAAGAAGGTGTGCGACATAGTCAAGAAACAATTGGCTCTGCCAGATGGATCTGATGTCACTGGGGAGTCCAAATTTTCTGCACTTGGAGCTGATTCTCTTGACACGGTAATGTAATGATACTTGGTATGAAATATTGTTGCGGCATGGATTTGGAAAACTCTCATCATTGTACAAGTTAGTGATTAGTAAACAACTCTCATTAAGTGTCATTACCCTTGAGTCTACATCATCGTCCTTTTGTTGTTATGAGTTTTGTTTAGTCGCTCCTCTTTTCTTTTTCTTTGTTGGAGCGTTTCTTCTATCTGTTCTTTTCTCTTTCGTTTTTTACTTTTTCTAATCCTTTTTGAGAGAAAGTAACAAGAGGTCATTTAAAATCTGGAAAACAGTAATGAGTCGATGTTGAGGTCGAACTCTTGGATTCTTGAGTCTTACCTCACATTGTGTGTTGTGACTTCGCAATTGTTGTCGTTGAAGTTCCTCTGATTGCTTTAGCATTTTAGGCTTGTTTCTTCCTTTGGTTGCCCTATACCAGAGTCCAAATCACGTTTAACGTGATTCTACGTGAATCGTGGCAGCTATCATGGTATGTATATTTTGCGATCTTTTGCTTGGAATTTTAAAGTTGTTTTTAAAATTTTATAGGTTGAAATTGTGATGGGACTTGAGGAGGAATTTGGAATTAGCGTGGAAGAAGAGAGTGCACAGAGCATTACCACCGTTCAAGAAGCGGCTGATATGATTGAAAATCTTCTGGAAAGGAAGAGTACTTGAAATAGAGGGCGCACATGATGGTCATCCTGGGAATTTTTTATTAACTTTTTTTTTTTGGATTATTTTGGTCAAAGTGGTCATAAAGTCCGAAATTTATATTCATATTTCAGTTTGATTTTTATCTAGCAACTGCTACATCTCTTATAAACAATGCTAGGTCGCGGCTGTGTTTCTCTTTTTATCTTGGTAGAACTGAAGTTATTTCTTCTGTTGAAAAAAGATGATTTGTTGGGAGTTCGTTTACGTTATAAAGTGTTCGGGAACCACCCTCCCACGGCATAGCGCATTCTCTAATATATATATATATATATCTCTATACATTTACTGCTAATCTTTTGAGCGTCTGACGACTTACTGGTAGTATAGGTTTTCTATTTTTCTTCTCTTTATTTTCATGCCTGATTTGAGTGCTCTCCTGTATGTTGTTGTACTGAATCTATTGATTCCGAATGGTAAGCGTTGACTGATAAAAGCGCAAAACCTGGATAAAACCAACGAGTACGAATCATGCCAGCCTCTTGTTGATGAGATCCTCTGAAGTCACATGCCTGTTGTGTTCTTGAAGGTAGGTGTTATTTTGAGAAGAAAGAAGCACTGTTGCGTGCTTTAGAATAAAATGAAAAGGGGAAAAAATCATGGCCCGCCCAACCTCGAGAACTTGAGACGTAAAGACTTCAGCGGATCCCGTCCTCCACCTTAATTGGAATTTTTTTTTCTACTTTTTAAATTATTTTAAAATTTTAATATGTTTAACTTCAACTATAACTCCTTTAACAAGAATATTTCCCATACTTAAATCTATTTTAAAATTATTTAACAAGAATATTACTTTTTAAATTATTTTAAAATTTTAATATGTTTAACTTCAACTATAACTCCTTTAACAAGAATATTTCCCATACTTAAATCTATTTACATAAATAATGAATATATATTGTTTTCATTAAATTCTACATAATTATATATTTATAGCCATTAAATCAAATGGATTACATGATCCTGGCCTGAAAGAGCAAGTGCAAAAGCAACCTTGAGCAACTATTAAACTTCATCTTTCATCTAAGGCTAGTAATTATGAAAATCTGGAATAAGCTAACAATTTGTGCTTTTAATTTTAATCATAGCAAGGTTTCGTGAAAATGGGAATGCAAAAAGGAGATCAATAGGCTTAATCATGTGCATCTGATTGGAAAGATATAGGACCTAGTCAATCAACTTTAATGGAAAAACAGAAAGAGGGAGACTCCTGAATAATTACAAGTGGGAAATCTTCTATAGAACCACCCCTGAAGAAAGAAAGCACTCACAGTTCATACTCTTCTATCCTGCACAGACCAAAAAGCTGCTAAACCTGCAAAAACGGCCATCCTCGAGCTAGAAACCATGCCTTGTGATTGCTTGCTTTGCTTAGCTGTTGTGTTACTTGCAAAATACAAGTAAACAACAACACTGAGAAATGACAGTTTCTAGGTCCATTTAGATGCAGCGAGGCAGCCGCTGCAATTCTAGCACTGCCAGCCCAGCTGTTTTGGCCAACTCATCGACACCTGAACTTTTGAATTCGGAAACAATCATTTCAATTCTTGAAATTTCTGGTATGGAGATTGATAATATCATTGCATGCAACAAGTATTGCCTGCAAGCATAACCTAAAGCATGTAGCATTCGCAGGACCAATAGGTGAGAGACGCCTTTTCGCCAGGACTCCAAGATCACACTAACCTTATGGAGCTTGGTTAGCAGACCAGTGGTGGCTTCTCTAGGAGCTGCTTTGAAAAGTAAAATTACACACTCAGAAGCTAAGTTAGCAATGTTGGCTTCATTATAGCCACTCAACTCCAGCAAGACACCAATGTTGCTTCCAAAGTCCATTATATCTCTTACACATTGTTGAGGATCAATTGCACTACTCGCCTCAAAAGAACATTCACCTAAGAGAGTAAGTTCTGCCGAGCAGTTAGCGCCTTCAACGCTTCTGACTGAACGTGCAAGAAAAGCCCTGCAAAGTCCAAGAGTTGGCTCCAAGAAATCTTCCATACCCTTTGCGCATACGAACTCCAGAAAATTACCAATTCTCCTAACAACTTTTAGTTGAGAGAGTAACTTGGAATCCATTTCAGGAGCAGAAGCCAGAGCCAAACACAGCTTAACATTGTTAACATTCGCACTTGAGAGATCACCAAGCAAGAACTCAAAGCACTGTGAGATTGTCTTCAAATGCAGAATGTCTGGAATTTTAATAAAACCGAACTCCAGTAACATGACAAGAAGCTTTTGTGCATACATAGGAATAGGATCCTCATCTTCAACTAGGGTCGGGTAGAGAGGGAGAAAATGGGTATTTGATACAGACTTCAAGCCCTTCAATCTTTGTTCATCTTCAATGGGTTCGCTCAAAAGAATGACCATCACATCAAAGAGAATCTTTAGGCATAGAAATCTGGCATCACCATCTTTGTTACCCTTGTATAGAATGGTTAAGCTAGGGAGGATTTCACGTATGAAAAGGTCAGGGTTCCCAAAAATCACAAAAGACTCCTCTGTTAGAGACTCCATAATTCGAAGAAGGGTTATTTGGAAGTCATCTCTGCCCTGAAACTCATTAAACAGAAAAACTATCAAACATATGTTTTTGAAAGTCAACATTGTTCTTACTAATGTACTCCGCAGCCAACTAAAATCAATATGTCCCCATCCCATTAAAGACCAAACCCTAGAAAAGGAAGCCAAAGACTAACAGCTTAATTTATTAGCTGAAAAATATTTTAAAACTTGCCAAGAAAATCTTCCAAGGAAAATGCACCTCTGATGATGAAGATGATGATGATAACTATATTTTTTTCCATATAGAAGTTACATATATTCAATCAAAACTCCAATAAAAAAAAATCCTAACCATCAGAAGGATGAGGACAAGATAAAATGACTAAGTCACTGACCTGAAATGGTGTCTCCACGATTTTAATAAGGTTTGCTAGCTGCTGCAAGACTTGGTTAGTTGCCACTTTGCGCTTAAATATTGAACTCCCTAGAAGATGAAGAACAACAGGGAACAAATGAATGCTGGTTTTTGGAGAAGGCCTGCAAGTAAGGGAAGAGATATGTCCATGACGCCTTCCTGCCATCATTTGTTGGATATCCCCGGTTATAGTATCCAGTAAACCAGGAATAGTAGAGGCCACATTATGCAAGAATGCATTTAAACACTGCCGCACAAAGACATCTTTCTCTTTTACCAACCTGTCCACCACTGAAAGTAATTTTGGACTGCAAAAGAAATGTGGAAGCCACCTTTTACCACCCTTACAAAGAAGAGCCACAAAAACAAGTGCCTTTCCCTTCAAAACTTCACTACCCTGCTCTACAAGAGCTAAAAGACTGGGGATCAAATTCTTATCCTCAACAAGTTGCAGAAGGTATCGTCCAATGTTAGGGAACATATGACTTCCAAGCATTGCCACGCTAAGAAGATTTAAGCTGATTTGCTGCTCACGAGGACTGCCCTTGACAAGAGCAGATGCGAGGTCCTTAAATGGGAGTTTCTCAATAACTGGCTGAATGCTTGGTGGGTTGAAACGAACTAAGCGCACCAAACATGACCCTGCAGTAAGCCTCATGCTCTCTTGTTTTCCCGATGCCCTATAAATATAACACAAATTGGAAATGATATCTTGGCTGGTAAATCGTCCCACCCATACCCCTCCTTGACTGGAAATATTCTCAACTGTCCTCAATGCATACAACTGCGTTATATCATCCTCTCCCTTCCGCAAAAGTGATGACACCAAAGATATCAATGAATTTGGAACCTGCAACCATCAAAAGTTGTATAACCATGACGATTATGGGCGCAGAAAATGATGGCAAATAAAACTGCTTAATGATAACAACAAAAAATTTCTCTCGGGTTAACTAAAAATATTAAAAAAACACATTGCACCATACCAAGAACGTCGTAATTATTACAAAGCAGAGCAATCAAGCTTCAAATAACCTGGCAAACCAACTAAAGCAATATATAAACTAGAACGCAAACCTGCCAGCCAGATGTGGCCCGATTGTCCTTCAATGGAGATTCAAGTTGATTGTTATCTCTATTGTCCTCATTTTGAGTTGATATGTAGAATAATAGCTCGCCCAAAGCTGCCATGGAAAACCTCCTCACTTTGTCTTGCTTGTCTCTAAGGCCATCAGTCAGTGAACTTAAAATTCCACAATTAGCCAAACTGTCATCAATATAAGTAGAGTGTCGTATCAACAAACCAATCAGCGAAGCAAGTTGAACACGTAAAGCTGATGCCTTGGACTGACGAAGCAATTTTACAAGTGTGAGCATTATTGGCCCATTTGTCAAGATATTAGCTGCATCAGCATTATTGCTCAAAATCTCAAGGTATCTGATGACATTCTGTTTCTCCCCAATGCTGGAGTTCCCATTAAAAATTGCTACAATTCGGTTTAGGACAGTATCCAATTGTTCTTTTGACAACTTTACAAAATCAGACACCGTAAAAGCCTCAAAAGGAAGTGAAGGGATGACCTCTTTATCAATTTTTCTGTTTGGCATCACAGGTCTGACTGAGAGATCACTTCGATGCCAAAGAACATGGGAAATGTTACCAGAAGACCTTGAAGAATCAAAATCAAGTGCAGATCCCGAATCTTCTTTAACCCTATGCTTCCTGACCTGAGGGCTCACACTAGGAGAGAGAGAAGACATGTTAGGATGCTCAGGAGTTGATTCCGGATCAAGTGACATTGAATCATCTGAGTTGGGCGTATTAACCATAGAAGGGGGGTCTAATTGATCCATCTCCTCTGGTTTACCCTGATTTTGATTTAGATTGGACATCTTCTCATCTGGCAGAATTGTGTTATCAGAACCATCAATGTCATCATGTGCATCATCTTCTATAGTTTCATTAAAATCAAGTTCCATATCAGTATTGTCAATTTTAACTTCAGAGTCATTATCAGAGCTATTAGGCAAGGGGCGCCGATAATTTTCTTTATCATTTTCCTTGTGTAAATTTGATTTTGCTATTCTTGAGAGTCTCAAGAGGTTCATAGCCTTGCTAGCAATAGAAGCATCTTTCTGCCTCACCTCGGTCATTTTGCCAAAACCCTTTATTTGAGTTCTATGGCCATTTGGCGGACCCCTCGTTGGTGTATCCTGACCTCTAGGTCCCATGATAGAATTCTCATCTTGCTTCGACAACCCTCTCATATCTTTTTCTCGACATTTAGGAGGAGTTCTGCTGTGGGCGGATTTATCACCATT